ATTTGACATAAAATATGCAAAAAGTAATGTTATATTAATTAAAATTATTAATTTTTTCAAATAACAGAATCTATTAAATACACGTCTCATAGCATTACAAAATAGTGCTATGAAAGTAGTGCTATGAGCAATAGAATCGTTATTTGAAAATTGGCCAGTACAGTACTCGAACGTCCCTGGCCATTTGCCCATTTTGACCATGGATAAAACATGTGGTGACAATTGTGCACAATTTCATTTCGATATCAATAGAACTGGTCATTTGAAGCCAAAGGAATTCCCTAAGATAGATTAATTTTTACACTACAGTGTATTAACTGTTACTATTTTTATATGAATTTTTCATTTCATTTGTCTGACTTATCAAACAAATTAAATATTTAATAAATTATTTTAATTAAGAATAATTTATTGATTTTGCAATTCTATGTTTTCTAAGTTTTGGGATTAAATACTATATTGAAAATATTGATACTTCAATGCAATCACAACTATTTATTATATAAATGTTATTTATTATCACATATTTAGCATATATTCATATCTAAATATAACACACTTTTAAGGTTTTAAAGTAGTGTCAATAAAATTTGTCATTTAGTAAACACTATATAATTAATCTTAAACAAAATGGGGTTAAATTTATTAAAAGTCATTTAATCTATACATATTAGATTTTTATTTAATAATTAAACTATTGCATTTTAAGTTAAGAGTACCATATATTAAAAATATTATTATGCATAATAGCTAAAATGTATAAATATATTATTTAATTATTTGCATGTTTTATTAATTAAAATTTGGTTTAAAAGGTTTTATAATTAGAATTTTTAATATTTGGATTAATTACAAATACATATTATTAGAGTATTTGTATTTTATATTTCTTATTATTGAATAATTAATTTAATAAATTGAGGTCTAATTTAAGACACAAACACAAGTGAACACATTTCTGGGAATTTAACAGCAAATTGTGTTTTATTTTCATTTAGAAAATGAGTTCAAATCAATCTACAGGTGCTTTACATCTGTTTGAAGGCAAATAAAGTTCATAATAAGATATTGTCTACAAAAACTGTTATGGGATTTGAATATTTGATGAAATTGTTGAATATTTGTATTCCTGTAACAAAACCATAGCCTCCAGTAGTTTATAATTTGGCGAATAATTTTAATCTTAATTTAATTATAAATATATTTAGCGTTCACTTTACAGAAGATCTTCTCCGATGGCTATTAAATGCAATTTCAAACATACATTAAATGATAACATTTTCATGATATTAAAAAATACTTTCAAAAAATATGTTTATTAAGAGATGTCTTAAGGAATAATTAATTTAATAGGAAAGAAGTGCTTTAATTATTTTATTGATTATACTATAATGTTATATAATGTTAATGAGATTTTTGTATCAAAAGCTAAAAATAAATTATTCATTGGTGTTATGAAAATGAAATAAATATAACGATTGGATTTATTTTCAAATAATTATTTTTTATTCAATAGAAATTAATAGACAAATGAATTTACATTTAAAATAATAGTCAAAAGTGTCGTTTTGGATAAAACATATAAATTGTGTGAAAAGCATTTTTGTTAATAATTTATTTTATGTTTTTATTTAATTTATATATAAATAACTGTATATTTCAGTAATTTGTGATTTTAATCATTGATGATATGAATTATTATTATCTGATTATTAATAATGCAATCATTCGTTACACCAGTTATTTGACTAATAATTCCTTAAATAACATATCCATTGATTTATTGATCGTAACATTTAATTGCATTCTTTAACATCAAATTACAATTAAATTAAATTATAGAAAGATTTTATACATAAATTAAATGATAACTATATTTATATGAATATTGTTTTTCGGGTATATTTTTTGCCACTAAAATGGGTGTTCACGAGTTTATACTATATATTCATTTATATACAATCATTTGTCAGACAATGACCACAATTGTGATAACAATTCAATGATGTTTTTATTTAAAAGTTTAAAATTTGTTGAAAGGGGAAGACTAGGAGACTATATATTCCAGCGCTTCAATCACTCAAACGACTCAATGAATACCATATTTATAAATATAGAGATGTTTTCGTAATAATCATGCATTCATTTCTAGTGATAACATCTTTTAAAATATAAGATCTATTTATTTGATTGTAAATAACAATATGATTGATATCCTGTGCTTCAATGGCATGAATGCAGTGCTGGTGTCTATATATCTGTATATCTGTACCTCTTTAATGAAGGCACTGATGATTGCGTCAAAACCGCTAACAAATGCAGAGATGGAAAGGCATCTCATATTAACTTTAATAAATAAAGTTGTGTTAAGTAAGCATTGATTGGGATTTACAACTGTTTATAAGAATAGCAATGATTTATAATAGGGTTTTGCTGTTTATAAGGATGCCCTCAATTGAACAGTTAAGACGAGTCAGGAAATGACTTAATAGATAAATAAGAGGTAAGTGTTTGTCTCCAATGCCTTACAATACACATCAGATCTCCGCATAAGTCTCATAGAATTGACGGGAAATCACTTTTCATTGGCTTTTATATGAATTATTATATTTACTTACTCGTTAGCATTCAATTTGTCACCAAAGCATACATTTATGTCATCTTTAAGTTACAAAATTCTTGTCATTATATATGTCTTAATGTATTGAAAACAGCAATCATTTTGATAGTAATAGATGTGATTTAAATTAATTCACAATTGAAGTCATTCTCATGTTTAGCAAATATGGGTGTATTTCGTTCATTATATCAATTCATTCACTGTTTTCAACGTAATTGTCATTTTAATCTAAAAACACAATCACTTGAATATGTATTTTGTTGTCAATCACAGAAAATATTTATACAATGATATTACTATTATTTGATTATCATTTTACAAATAAAATTAAATCCTAAAACTAATAATTAAGTGCTTCTTAATCTACACTTTAGACTCCTTTCAATTCAAATAAATATAATTATTATTTCGTTTATTAATAATTAATTCGAGATATATTTATAGCAAAATTATCACAAACCAAATGATATATGTTTTTCAGACTCATTGATATGATATTATCACAAATTAATTGGTATTAAAAGGTTGAAGACATTTGTGTAACTAATTATCATGTTTTGCTACTGTTTTACAATTGAATTAAAACTCCTATCGAAGGAAAATAATCTCTATTTCTTGTTATGGTTTTAAGCAATACTCGAAGAGAAGAGTAAAGTGTAGATCAAGAGTGAAGTCTATCATTGAATTAGTGCTCAATACATATCATAAACAATAATTATTTTAAAACACTTTTGAATTGAAAAGCTTAACAATAGTATATGTAATGTAATAATAATATGCATTTATTCCTAATATAGAGGGCTTTTGAGATTCTCTTTATAAAGTTTTCTTCAATCTTTTTGTCTGTTTAGTCGTTAATAATAAATAATTTATAAGTTTTATGACTAGAAAATCAATAAAAAGTTTTCGTTTTCAATGCGAATGTTAGAAGTTTTTAATATAATAAATAGACAGTAATTTAATGACATATTTAATACAAGAAAAGTTAACATTTCAATAATAATAATATTATTAATAGAGTTGTTATTTATTAAATATATTTTCTCATTATATATCAGTTTAATATTACTTAAGTAAAGACTTTTCACAAAAATTGTTTTATCGAAAGATTGTTTTTATTTTTAAAATCAATTTCTAACATAATTATAATTATGTCTGCAATTGAATGATACGGTTATGTGATATGACTAGTGTTTTGTTGTTATATAATCTTTTAAATTATTATTATTAAACTGTTGCCAACACTCAAGAAAATGTCAAATATAGATATATTTATTAATTTAACTATTATTTTGATATGTGCTTTGGATCTCAAATTGGATCTCAATTCTGTGTTCAAAGCATAAAATATAAGGAATGTATGACTAAATCGGAATCAAATGTACATTAAATATAAATATTAAATAATAAGTAACCGTAAAGATTATTTGTCAAACAATTTGGTACAACTTTGGTCTAACTAGCCTTATATATACCGTATAAAGTAGTATTCAAACGATGATATACTACACGTCTATATATATATATTGATATATAAATTTTAACTGCAATTTGTGTGCAATCATTGATACATATGTGCTCATCATTAGGTGCTTTCGGTTAAACTTTTTTTTTGGCCTAAAAGTGTTTTGTCTGATTCAATGTTCACATATTCTTATATAATTGTAATACTGATTACACACTAATAATATTTATATAATGCATAGATATATATAATATATAACTTATGTGTAAATGTATATAATGTTAACTAATATGTAATGAATGATAAGAGAAGGCATTTTTGTTCGTTTTTATGATGTAATAATAATAATAAATGTAAAAATAATATTCATAATAAAGTAATAATGAGTGACTTAATGGATATTTTTATATATAACTTATATTATATGAGAATATATTACAAAATAATTGTCGACTTAAAGGAGAAATATTAGAGAAAGTGCACTAAACATATGTGGAAGAAGTAGTATTAAATTATGAGAATAATAAGCATAAGAATTACAATTAAAAAATGAGAAATGAATTGATTATAAGGCGGAATACTGTTATAACACATCATCGATGGGTCCAAATCAGACAAAATCGGATTCATTTCCAATGATATGAGTGACGACTAGTGCTCACTCATCAATAAAATCTTTTTTAAGGGTTAAATTGACTTAAAAATATTTTTTGTTTGTTTTGTTTAAATTAATTAAAATGTTTTTAACTATATATAAGTCTTGAATATTATACATGTAATGTATAAACACCGGACGACTAGTTATAATGTGTTTGTTTTTGAATTTGACTTAAAATTTGTTTTTAAATACTAATATTGTTTTTGTTTTTCATACATATTATTATAACATTTGGTTTTAACAAATAGTTATAAAGCGTTTTCTCTTTAAATATTATTCCTAAAAATGACTCGAATTAATAATTTGTATACAATTTTCTCATACAAGTTGTCAATGGAATTGAAGGCACGACTTCTCGATTGAACCGATTCTTCTTCAAAACGTTATCCCAAATGAGTTTTCAGTTCTTTGTCTTCTTCTTCGCACTCGAAGTTCTCGTTTGGATTTTCGTCGAAATAATTATGTATTTGTTTCGTCGAAATAATAACATTCATTATTATATACTATAATAATATAACCGTTTTTTGAAGCAATAAAAGTGAAGAGCAGCCAATTTTGAGACTAAAACTGTTTTCGGACGGTATATTCAATGCCATCTTCTATTCATTTGTTTGCTATTATTATTATTACATGATATTTATATATATATTGGTTATGACTATTTAAATATAAACATTCAATTGTCTCATTCGAGTTGTTCCAAGAAATTGGGAGATTTGAAATACTCGGGAACGTTATCATCGAGACGTGCGATCACTTTATAGATTGCTTTCTTCCACGACTGCTCTGAGTCTTTGCCCGATTGGACTGCTTTGAAGAACTCTCTCAGTGTCTGTTCGCTCACATAACGAAAGTTTTCGGGAACCTTAACATTGGTTTCAAAGAAAGAGAGCATTTCATTAGATATGTTAAGTAATGAAACAACTTTTTTCGCAAATGCAATGTGTTTTATGAGAAACACATTGTATTCTCAATGCCATGTATTTGAATGCTATGTTTGATGACTTACATCGATATGATTATTGCGATTATAGTGAAGATTGAGGACTCGGAGCAGTTCCGAGTCGTGGCTCACATGGAGTTCCTCTGAGTTCTTGACGCCTTCGCTGAGGGCCTGTCGCGCATACTTCTCCATTTGGATGTAATAAAACTCTCTGTTAAAAACAAATACAAGAATATTCATTAGGGATGAACAGAAAAGAGCACATAATAAATAATAATAATAATAATGTTAATAACTTATGGTTCAAATATATGCGATATATTTATGTTATAATAAATGATTTTAAGGTGTTTAACATGAAAAGAGTGAATGTGTTTAATCGAAATCACTATTAGTTTCGTTGTTTAATATTATTATTGTTTTGTGTTTTATTAAAAGTCATTTATTAAATGACGAGATATTTTCAGTAGAGAAAGAGTTATGTCTAATAATTAACTGTTTATCAAAGGTTTGTAACTCCATTATAGAGGGACGGATGTAATGGTAATATTGAATGATATAAGTTATGACTGAATCGAGCGAATGGTTAGAAGTGACCCGAAGAGGAAATACATTCTGCAAACTATTAGTTAGTTTTGGTTTTCACTAAACAGTCGTGTCTTTTATCTTCACTGTTAGGTCTTGTGTCGTATCAGTCGTTTCATTACAAAAGAGTCGCTAATTAATCAAATCTCATTAAAGAAAGGGTCCGACACTACCTCCCAGTGCTGTCATATGCATCGATATGGAGACATACACCGAGACATTGCAGCTAAAGCTATGATACAGTCGGACTCCGTTGTACCGACTGATGCCTTATTGTTAGACTGTATGTGTATTAATATTACACTCTTGTAATGATATTTTAGTTAATATACAACTATTACATACATTAAGTGCACATTAATGTAGACTAAAATCGCGGCCAAAAATAATTTAAATAGAAATCAATGGAATATATAATAGAATCTATTGTTTCATTCAAAACCCCATTCAAAGCAATTGCATTGAAATTTCAAAGCAATCTCTGGTTATAATGGAGTGAAAGTTTGCAAAAGGCATGAAAGCACTGGTTAGTGAGATCCTCTCCCTTTCCCTCTCTTTCACAATAAGTCTCTTATCTAATGAACATTTTTAAATCCTAAGAAAAAGCAGATAATAATGGGAGGAATGCATTAGACAAAGGGATTAGAGATGAGAGATAATATGCATAATGAAAGTTAACGCTCAATATTAGCCAATATTAGCGCACTGTTAAGGTTAGGCCGAGTATTATATAATGTATTGCTTATAATATATGCCAACACTTTAATGGTTAAGGAAGAGCTCTAAAATAGATGATGAGGTGACGATTGCAACAGTACTCTAATATAAGAGCGCTGTTAGACAATATATTACATCTATTATACCGTTATTATACTTTCTTATTACACTTTTATACTGTCCTTCACTAATAATCATCGCTTGCCTTCAATGCCTGTGCTCTAAGGCTGTGCTCTAAGGCTGTGCTCTACTCGTAATGTGCATTAATACTGATAAGAGATGCCAAAAGGCTTATTTGGCAACTAATGAGTTGACGCACCTGATTAGTGATCATTTAATACATATATTCATACATAGGCACCAACCCATACAACCCATACAAACACATACATGCCGTACAAATGCGCTACAAATGCAATCATTTGTCAAAAATCAACTCAAATTAATGGTAACATAACAACGAATCGACTCTTTTTCTCGAATACATTATTGACATCATATTGTGTTTATAAATACAACTCATTGTATGAATAAAGTTGTGGCCATTGTTTACAATTTCCTTGTATTAAAACTCGTGTATTCCTCGCTATCCTCTCTCTCCTCTCTCTCTAATCCCTTTGTCTAATGCATTCCTCCCATTATTAACTGTGGCGCGTTTCAGGTACATCGCTTAGCGTAAGTTCAACTTGATTTAAGTTTAAGTTTGAACTTAACTTAAGTTCCATTGTGTTTCTCGAAAAAACTTGGACTTAACTTAAACTTAATGTTCAAAACCAGTTTTTATGCACTGGACATCACAGAGGGTATTGCAGTGAAGTGGACACTCACTCCACATACACACACTCCACACACGCGTTCTCCTCTCTCTGCATACAAAGCATATGCAAAGTGAGGGTAGAGTGAAGGCAAGGGTTGGCGTACATTAAGCACACAAATTAGGACTTACGGAGTTTATTGAAACGCAAATATAACCTGAGGGCAACTTATCTCAAACGAAGATCTGAATGCGGTTTGAATTTGAATTGAATGCCAGACGGAAATGTGAAGAAATACTTTGCGCTTTAGTACGCATTCAATCTTTTTACCTGAATTCAAAGAAATACTTTGTTCGGTGACCCCTTTGGAGCTAAGCAGAGCATATCAAGCAATTGAGTGCCAAATATAGTGAACTCTATGCATATTAGATATTATTGCAGACAAGAGATAGAATATATGTAGAAGTAAATAGTGTGGAGTACAGGCATAGCACAGGCAATACAGCACAGCATCCCGTTTATTCATCGCTCGGATATTGAGTTTTGTTTCTCAATCTCTAGACCGTAACCGAGTGTTCAGTGCCAGCGCTGGTAAAGTACGTGAAAACTTTTCCATATCTCGATCCACATTAAGGGCTAGACTTCCCCTTTAGCTCGTTATTGAACTAATAGGACAGGCATTTGCAATATCGGGACCAATACATCCTGATTAGCACAACACTGATATACAGCTGCCTTTTATTTTAAGAGACATTGCATTTACTTTTCTCAGATCACTCTCGCAATCCTGTGATACGCCCGACAAATACACTAAAACTCATACTTTTGTCACACAATAGTCATCCGCTCAACAAAAAAATGTCATTTTTGTGATTATTATGACTTGTGATGCAAGAGTAGAATACCTTAGTTTTAGTGTACATTATATATACACTATGTATTTGGCTGTGTTTGGCCTGTTTTGATCGGATATCCGTACCTCTTCATGACTTTGCTCTGCCTTATATTATAAGAGTACACATACCATACCATACCATACCATACCATACCATACCATACCATAAGCTACACTCCTATCACAACTTTTGCATAAAAAAGCTTTGAAACTATTTAAAGCAATACCTCTTTTCCTTCTTTTTATATGGAATTTAAACTATTCATACAATTCAATATTTAGTGTACATTATATATACACTATGTATTTGGCTGTGTTTGGCCTGTTTTGATCGGATATCCGTACCTCTTCATGACTTTGCTCTGCCTTATATTATAAGAGTACACATACCATACCATACCATAAGCTACACTCCTATCACAACTTTTGCATAAAAAAGCTTTGAAACTATTTAAAGCAATACCTCTTTTCCTTCTTTTTATATGGAATTTAAACTATTCATACAATTCAATGCATTCAAAGTACTCGTCATTTCTCATTACTGAACATCCGTTTAATTTAATACAATCTGTCGCTCAATCATAAAAACTCTTCCCAATAAGACAATACTGACTGCACAAAAAACCACTAGCAAAGTGTCCCTCATATTAAATTCACACAAACACACAAAAAAGCAAAGCATTTAAAACAATTGTTTGCATATAATTAGAGGCAACGAAACGTAATGAGAGATATAAAGAAATGCTATAAAAAGCTTACCTAAAGTTGGAGAACCATTTGACGAGTTGTGCCGTATTATTCTTATTGAACTTAATGTCCGGGAAAAACATCTTCAGTATCGCTGACGACGGATACCGGACGAAGAAGAACATGAGTTTGGCTTTCCTCAGATGCATAGGCGTCAGAGTACTGGTGTTCACAGGAGTTAAGGATTTAAAGGATTCATATTATTTTCATATTTTATATATAGTTATAGTTAACATTCACATAAAAAAATTTCATAACATTTCTCGCAAATACATAACAATTCTCGTACAAAGCCTTCGCAAACGCATACTTATGTAAATATTTAAAGAAAATTAGAGTTTTTATATATCAATGTTTGACTACAGGTTTATAAAGTGAACTAAATATCTAACTATTTCTGTAAAAAGTGGGGGAAAAACCGCTGAAATTGTTACTCAAAAAAGGAATTGTATTGACTTTAAGCTCGAAATTATTTATTTATAAATAGCTGTTAAATTGAATTTGTTATGCATTTGTATAAAACACTTGCGTTTTCTGTATTCACTATAAGAATACAATAATTGAAAGCGAAGAGAGATTTTGTTATTTGTTTTAGAAATGATTTGAACGGAAAAGGATATCATAGGCATAGACGGGTCGTACACTTGGGTTTCGTTGGTTTCCGATCCTTCGTTGCCATTGTCTGAACCGCCCCTTCCGTACTGAAGGCCAGGCATTACTGTCGCGGGATATCCGTGAAGAGAATCGGGTGACGCGCGACTCGCGGCCAACATATGCAAGTGATGGGCGGCGGCCGCGTGTGCGACGGCCGACACCACCGCTGAATGACTTTTACCATCTCTATTCATGTCGGAGTCGTCCCCAAACAAACTGAGTCGCGGGTGATCTCCAAACGGGAAGTTTGTGCCACTGAAGAGGTCCGTGTGATGAAGACTGGGATTAGGTATTGCCACCGATGTTGGCAATGACACCGGCACTAGTGGTGGCGGCGGTTGAGACGGCCCGTGATTTCCATAAACCATTGAATTGGGCGGTGAAACGGAAGAAGCGTCTCTATTGTTGCACATCATCAGCGAGTCCTGACCTAACAGTCGGCTTACAGTTCGGGGCGTAATCCTAGTGTCGGTCACTTTATGTCGTTTCCGTTTGGGCGCCACCACTAAAGCCATGGCCTCTGTCTGCTCGGGAAGCGGTTCATCTGATCGGCTGAAGAGGTGTGAATTCGAGTGCCCATTAGTGTTGACCGGAATGTTAGGGATATCTCGGTTGCAATAATTGTTTGATTGTTCGCTGCGTTGACTCAAACTCGAGGCAATACTATTGAAATGATGTGCGAGAGCTGAGGGAATGATTGCCGGCTGTTGAGGCATCTGTGCGCCAACGGGTGCCACGTTTGGCATATAAAAGGGAGACTTGAAGTTAGGGGTCGGGAACGAGAAGGGTGTCGGTCGGGGCGCCGGCGCTGTCTCTGTGGGAAGACTGAACGGACTTCCACGCGAAGAGTGGCCATTGATGTTAGTCTTGATGGCATTGCCTATAGTGGCCGCTCCAATAGCAGCCCCCCTATCGATCACTTTAGTTCGCGGAGACTTTCGGTCCAACATTTGGGACAAAATCGTGATTTCATTTTTCGATTCGTTTGAATCGAAGGGCAGTTTTGTTTGTCTTTTTTGGATATATTTCGAGAAAGTCGTGTCTATTATTTGCATAACAGAGCTCTGGATATCAGTCTTAAGGGAGTCGATGAGCCAATCCATGTCAGGAATGGGTGCCTGTGTTGAGCCACTGTTGCGCACAATACAGGACTGACGGTCCGATCGCCGGGCGATCTTCTCCTGCTCTGAGATGAGACGTCGGGCTTCGTCCAGGAAATGGGAGGCATCGCCGGCGCCGGGCATCGGGTGCCGAGCGGTGGGCGTAACGTTTGCACTCATGTCTCTGTTTGTGAGTTCACTTAATTGGGACGCAGGAGTGTTGGGTCCCTTATCGGAGGCCATTTCCTCCATTTCGGTGTCGTCCAAGTCGTCGTCGGCCGAGACAGCAGTCGTCAGATTGACGGGACTGGAGGTGAGAGACAACTGTTTCTGCTGCAGCTGTTGGGCTTCGAACAGTTCCACATACCTCTGTCTCATAGCGATCAGCTGTGACTGCATGTCCTCCAACTGTCGTCTCAAGTCATTCCTGTTCTCAGTCTTCGCCCGTTTGGCCGACAAATCAATGTGAGTGACAACGTCTTCGTCGTCGTCCTCCTCGTCGGCCAAATACTCGACCTCTTCGTCTTCATCGCCGGTTTGGTCATTGAGTTTGCTTTGTTGCGGTTGATATAGCTTTCGCTTCTTACACCCGTTCACTGACGCGTTCACAGCGTCTCCGTTACCGCCTTTCAGGCCTCCGACTGTCGGCCCATTGCCTCCCAATAACATATTGGACACAATGTTCTCCACTCGGGCTCTCTTCACGTCAGCGATGGCTGGACTGGAGTTGTGAGCGTTTGGACGGTTCGATTGGGCCGATAGTGCCGGTGATGGCGATCGCGACGATTCCAGTAGTGACTTGTCTTTGATGGGAGAGCTCTGATCAGTGCTGTTAATGATGTGATCCATGCCGTCATCATCTCTGCTCTCCGGGCGCTCGTTCTCCTCGTCGTCGAGATCGGAGGCATCGGAGCATTGAGAGAGTCCTCCCTCTCCTCCCTTTCCACTGTTCGCCAGTTTGTTGTTTCCGGAGCTGTTTGACTGACTTTGGATGCCATGGTTTGATTGGTCAGCCCTTTCCATACACTGATCTCCGCTATTCTCAGCCAACTTTCTGCCCGTTTGGAGAATATCGCGCAACAGATGAGCGCCGGGAACCGACACCTCAGAGCCCATACCTTTGGATGACATATAACTGCCACTCGTTTTGAAATTAAACTCCAAATCGGATGAATGACTGCTATTATTGTTATTACAATTGGAGATATTATTATTATTATTGGTTTCAGTCTTGAGATGCAGTGAATTCAGTCCATTTCCGGCTCCGTTCACAAACGGAGGTGCGATCTGACCGGCGCTCAGACCTCCGTTCACTAACTGCATGACCGCGTCGTCGATGACAATCATATCCGAGTTATTGGCTTTCGAGCTGTTGTTCTCCGACGAAGACTTAGAGATGAGATCACCGATGAATTTACTATTGGGAGATATGTTGAGACCGTTGCTGTACTGATGGTAGGGATGGTTAAGATAACCGCCTCGTGAGGAGAAGTTGGCAATACTGGCGTAACTGTTTCGCGGCTCTCCGGCGTCTACTCTCTGACGAGTTCTCTTGATTTTACAGCCTTTTAAAGACTGGTCTGACATAACATCCATAGAGGAGTCCTCTTCCGACGACATCACGTGATGTCTTGCAAGGCTTATGACTGGACGGAACCACAACGAAGACAAATACGACGACTCACTTCTCGCAATTGTGATGCACTCAAGTGTACAGACAATAAAGGAAAAGGCGATCCGCTGTTAAGACATCCCTTCCCTCCTATCGCACGACCAGGAGATAGGATGGCATACAATACGATGGGATAATCACTTCAGTCGGTTACTGGGCTTCACAAGAGTTGTGTCTGAAATATATGAAACAAAGTCCAGGTGTTAGTAATGGCAACGCCGGAGGCTATAGTTTACCTATAATTAAGGCTTTACTTTTGGGACATAGCTTTACGTAAAGGCTTATGTCATACAAGAGTGAGAGTTAAAGAGAGTCAGAGAGAGTGAGGGCGAGAGCCAGGGATGTGTTGAAACTTTCATGCATTCATTGCATCATTGCTTAAATGAATTGAAGTTTCAGTTCATCACATAAATACTATACGTTAACGTCTCTCACACACTGTTTGCACGTACCGTATACTTCACTTACACTGTATATAATGAGTACATGTACTCTCGCGAGAGAGAGAGAGAGAGAGAGAGAGAGAGCTCGTACATGATATCCTGCGTTAGAATCGATTGTAAAGTGTGTATAAAAAGCTCATGAAAGAGAGAGAGAGAGAGAGAGAGAGAGAGAGAGAGAGAAGTTGAACATAAAAAAGAAAGTTAAGATCAGAGCCCAAACCCACCCACAGAATACACAGTACAGTATACTATACAACAGCAGTGAGAGTGTCTGTAATGTAACCGTTAGTGAAATGAACCACAAAATACTAGCTCTTAATACACGACAATATTATACGGTATATAAAGAGCCGAATATACTGTATGAGAGGTATGCATGAGAGGGACGATCACAGATGTGAAGCGTTAAAGTAGTCTAAAATCGTTGAGAGATGCGATCCCTTCGCTCCCCATCCCTCGCTTGCCTTCACTTTTTCCCCATTATTACCATTCAATAAAATATTTTTCAATATTATTATCTTTTATAACGTTTAATAATAAAAACACATTTGAAATGCTATTCAAATTCCCAATTGAATGACATATACTTTGGAAAATCTTCGAAACAATAGAATACATACTCAGAACTCAAACAAAACTTTTTTCTTTATTACGATTAGTAATAAATAATTCAATGATTAAATAATTTAATGAATTTTATTTCATAAAACAAACTTAAATGCTATCGACTGTTAAGAAAGGAAATCCTCGCACAATAGGAGAGTTACAAAGTTTGCATAAATATTATTTCAAGTAAATTGAATTGAAAATAACATAATAGTGTTGAGCGCCGGATGGAAGTGTTATTGATATGATATATTTTTGGGTTCTCATTATTGGCTTAACTATTGTGTGTAGAAATTGTAATAAAAAACAGCATTTTATATCTCCCGATAATATGGTTTAAATACAATTAAGTAAACTATAAATCAATTATAAAAAGTTAATTTTCTTGAAAATAGAGATTTGATTGTTTTGTTGTTTACGGGGAACGGGAGGGGAATGAGTGGCACAACACTATAAGAAGCGACAGAAACAGGCGAACACTTCCTTCCTTTGAAGAACAATTAGAGGCGAAGAAAACGGGGGAAATGCTAAGTAAGTAGCGGTAGGACTGGTTGTAGGACTGGAGGCAGTGGAGACACTGGTAGCACATAAACAAGAATTTAGTGCATGAGATAAAAGGGCGATGGGTTGGCATCGGTTGGCATCGACTCTAAAAGAGCTGTTAAATTTCCTGACGAAGGAAGTGAAAAGACAACACAACACTGGCTGTAGATTACGCCTCAAGAATTACAAGAATCACTGCAATCCTGGGAACATCCCGTACTCTTACACTCACTCTATTCCTATCGCACTGTCATTCATGAGCTTTTTATACACACTTTACAATCGATTCTAACGCAGGATATCATGTACGAGCTCTCTCTCTCTCTCTCTCGCTCTCTCTCTCTCTCTCTCTCCCACTACGATTGACTGGTATTAAAATTTAGTCAAAACTTAGTTAAACATTGTATACTATGCGATGATTATGTAATGAAATGGCAAATGGAAGTGATGTACAACTTGTGGAGCGATAACACCACCAGAAAGAGAGAGAAGAGAGAAAAGTTTCATAAAATTAGCTCATTATTAGCTTTTGTATGCATTTAATGCTTTATAAGACAACTTCTTATATAATAAGTGTTAAAAAGCAATTTATTTCACTATAAAACGTACAGTATATAGACATACAGTAAGTTTATATTGAATTTTCAATTATTCCCGACTTTCAGTTCGTAAGTAAATCACTCTTTTTGGGGGAAATTAAATCCAAATCTAATCATTTAACTCAAAATTAAATGATTTTTTTCGTTGTTTTATGAAATCTTATCTGAGAGTTGGAGAGAGCAATGATTTGTAAAACACAAATAAAATCAAATAAATTTAAAAATAAATATCAAATATATTTACGTCACAAAAAGTATAGACAAACTGAGTCTTTGATGAATGCATTAAAATAGGAGTGAAATGAATGAAAATATTCATTAAATTGAATACCATTATGACTAACACAGACACACAATAAAAATACATGTCATTTAAAAACAATATTGAGTTAAAGCAAAACATAAGTTAAATGTTTTTGTATTAGAAATACACACAAATAGAGTCGGGGTCATGAAAAAAGTCAATTATGGACTCAAATCAATATACAATATGCAACACATGTCAAAATCTCTTGCATTTTCATCCCAAATGTCAAATGAATTCATTTGCCAAAAGACATGATTTGAGTCTCAAATCAATTGGTGAACGGGATTATCATTGAATACAATTGTTACACAAATTATAATATAATATAATTACTCACATAATATAAATCGGTGGCAAATTTGATATCATTTGTAGTGATATATTAAACTTTGTGATCAATTCCTCATAAGTACTGAACAATGAATGCAATGAACTAATAGTTAGCTTATTGTATGAGATGTGTTGGACTTGTAAGTGGTATATCAGTGCTGCAAAACTATTATGACATTAGCTGATAGGCATGTCTGATGCCTAACTGATCACAACTTCACTACTGTATTGGATATTAGAAATGTTCGATAGATATAATCAGTGAAACTTAGATATTATTGCCTCATGTTTTAGTAATTTGTATGGATTCCATACTATGGAAAGAGATAATTGCATTCATAGGGAACTCCATATTATAAAGAATAAACGATAAAAACACTTATTATCAGAATATACAGTAATTTACTATCATTTTGGTCATAGAGTATGGTATATGTGGTATATATGGCATAATATGGTATATATGATGGTTTGGTATTTTCAAATTCATGACATTAGTATAGATTGTGTTCTTAATTATCGTCTATGAGTTAGTGAGAGATAGTGGGACTCAGCTTTGCATCGACACAAATGACTGCCCCGTCTAATGGCTTGAGAGCACGTGCAGGTAAAATACGTTTGGGTTTGGGCTCTAATTAGTGGCTTAGATGTCCCGCTATAATAGTGCCCACAATTTGCAGCAAAGATTGGCTGCGAGTCTGTAGTTTGAGAGGAGAGCAGAGGTAGAGTTGGCCTAACAGTGAACTAATGGTTGGCCATAAGTATTAAGTATTGATTAGAATCGAGAGTATAAAGAGAAAGACAGAGTTAGAAATGATTGGACGTAACGTCGGTTCGGCTCTTTATTTTACATCTAATAAAATATCTTTCAAATCTATTGACAAATGTTTCCGATAAGTAATGTTTCATTTGGATTGTGTTGTGTATTGTGTGGGAAAACTTATTGGACCACAACATCGAAGTGAATATGTAATAGACTCGCAATAAGGCTCAGCCGGAAATTTGAGAAATAGGCCTATACTTAGGTGTATGTCTACCACTACTACTACCACTAGTCTAATGTATAGTAAGTATGTATACTGTTCTCAATGTGCGGTATATATGCTGTTCTGTATATGCATTGATGACATAACCTCATGACAGTAGTGCTCACAACCACAGGTGATGCCGTAGATGATAGTGGACTCCATTTGTATTAAGTGAGCACTTCGTGGGAATAAAACAATGTTGGAGAGAGAGAGAGAGAGAGAGAGAGAGAGAGAGAGAGAGAGAATGTCTCATATTTTCGATTCAATGCATAAAAGCAATGCATGCGATAAATATAAATTCAAAAGACTATTATTTATTGAATTGTATTTTATTTTATTACTTAACTCTAAAAGTGATATACAGTGTACAGCAAAACATAAAATTTATGTTTTAATACACAATAAATATAAATATAAGGGAATCAATGTTCCCAATGTTGGCGATGCTCTCAATTTAGTGAATAGGTCTGTGCTCTCTGTCTCTGTACTGTTTCCTCTAAGCAATACATGATATAAAACAATATATAGATTGACTGATTCACTGATTCACCTGATCAAACACATCCATCCCGTTCCCCATTTCATACCATAACATACGATAATACATGTGAATGACTTATGAAACTAGCGCTCACTTAGTGAACGGCACTGACCTCCTCATCCTCATCCTCTATCACACATTATTTGACACTTTTCTCTCACTATTTTAACATTTTATTAATAATTATTTTATTTGTATTATAAATAATCGCAACAATCGATTAACTCTAATATTTCCTACTTTTTAGCGAAATTCTTCAGAATTGCGTTTAATTGGAAACAAACGATAAAAAAGTTTTATTTTAAAACAAACTAATTTGTCGTCAAAGCTATTGTCTCTTCGTTTGGTCTATCAATAGGGCGTCAAATATGTTATGATATATTTGCAGAAATTCTTATATCATTTTCTACTGACTGGGGGTAGGGGTGGAAGTCATGGCACGCGCCAAACGAGCGCTACATTAGAGAGAGAGAGAGAGAGAGAGCACTGACCTAAGTACAGCTGAAATATTCAAAACT